TAGCCGTGGTCCCCTTACGAGATAGTTCATCGGATGCTTTATTCTCTAGTCCTAATTTGTACTCAATGTCAAAATCGAATCCCAACAACTTCATTAGCCATTTCTGATATTCAACACTTACCAAGCGCTGCTCGAGAAGAAACTTGAGGCTTTTTTGGTCTGTCCTAACCACAAAACGCCTCCCCAGCAAATAATGCCTCCACTTTTGTACCACCAGCACAATAGCCATGAGCTCCATTTTATATATTGACGTATACTGGCTCCTGAGTGGAAGAACTTGGCTGAAATAGGCAATTGGCCTCTAATTTTGCATTAAGACAACCTCTAACTCGTGCCCAGAAGCACCAGTCTTAGTCACGAAGGGTTGTGAAAAATATGGGAGAGCTAATACCGGTACCGTCATCATTGCTTCCTTCAGTTTTGTGAAGGCAGATTCCGCAACATCATTCCACGCGAAGCTATCTTTCTTCAGTAGTTGGGTTAGCGACCAGGCTATCTTTCCATAGGACTCCACAAGTCGTCGGTAATATCCCGCCATTCCCAAAAAACCCTCAGCTCCCTAAGTGTCTGAGGTCGTGGCTAGTCCTTCATAGCAGACAGCTTGGATTCATCCGCCGCCACCCCTTTGTCCAATATGATGTGCTCGAGATACTCTATCTTTGATTGCCCAAATGAACATTTCTTCTTGCTTGCAAAGTGCCGATTGTCTACCAAAACCTGCAGGACTATCTGCAAATGATTTTGATACTCCACCTCTGTACGGCTATACACTAGAATGTCGTCAAAGAAAACTAACACAAACTTCCGGAGCTGCACTCTGAAGATAGAATTCATCAGGGACTGAAAGGTGGCTAGGGCATTAGTCAAGCCGAATGGCATGACTAGAAACTCATAATGGCCTTTGTAAATTCAAAAGGCGATTTTTGGAACATCTCCAGCCTTCACCCGAATCTGGTGGAATCCAAATTTAAGATCTATTTTCAAAAACACTGTAGCCCCATTCAATTCGTTAAGTAATTCATCAATGATTGGAATCGGAAACTTGTCTGGAACGGGACCTTATTCAACACTCAATAATCCACGCAAAGTCGCCAACTCCCATCCTTCTTCCTTACTAGTAGTACCGGGCTTGAAAAAGGGCTAGTGTTGTGCTAGAAGATTCTTGTAACCATCATCTCCCTCACCTGCTCAATTTCATTCTTTTGGAAGTGCGGATAATGGTATGGTCTCAAGCTGACCGGTCCCACCCCTGGCTTCAACGTGATAGCATGATCACGATCTCTCTTGGGAGGCAATTGTGTGGGACCCTTGAATAGTGATTTAAATTTTCCCAAAATTTCTATAATGATCTCTGAGGGATTGGGTGGAACGGAGTCACGACTAACTGTAACACATCCCAGCTCTAATAAGACCCCTTCATCTTGTTCCTTAAAAGCTTTCCACATAGAATTCAACGACACGGGTATTTTACTGAAACTAGGATCCCCTTGCAAGGTCACCTTAGTTCTTCCAACATCGAACGACATAATTCAAGTGTTCCAGTCCAGCTGCATTTTGCCTAATGATCTTAACCATTGCATTCCCAGTATGATATCCGAGCTGCCCAACTCCAGCGGTAAGAAATCCTCTTCGACCAACAATCTCGGCAACCTCAAGGGCACTCGTCGGCATATACCGTCCCCTTTTACCGTTAGTCTTATACCAATTACCACTCCATAGCTCGTAGTACTGGTCACGGTAAATCCCAACTGTTGGACCAGGTTTGTTGAAATAAAATTGCGTGAAGCACCACATCAACCAAAACTATTACCTCTGTTTGACAGATCATCCCCCCTTCAATTTCATCGCTCCTAGAGTTGTTAGCCCAACAACCGAGTTGATGTAGAGCTCTACTGGATGTTCCAGCTCTTGCGCTTCCTCCTCGTCATGATTTACCTCGCCAGTCGTCACCCCTCCTTCGCCGGTTACCATTAGGTCTGATTGTTCCTCGACGTCCTCCATTTCCCGGATTACAAGTACCTGCAACTCCTTATTCTTGCTCGCAGTGGTAACATAAACCATTTTCCTTCTTGGCCTGGATTTCTGCATCAGTGAGTCTTTTGTAAGGAATGGAAAATTTTAGGAAGAAATTTAGGCGATTTGAGGGAAAGTTCAGAAGAACGGTGTAGCGTGTTTGGGGGTTGTTTACGTGATGTGGGTTATAAGTAGATGATTGAGGTGGATTTGGGTTATGAAAGGGAATACTCTTTTGTTTAAATGGGCTAGCATTCCATTGGGCCTATTTAGTTACAGCATTTCGGTCCTCCACCATTTGGGCCACCTCCATAATTTGTTCCAGGCCCGAGGGCCTTAACAACAGTACTTCAGCCCTAATAATCGGGTTTAACCTTGCATTCCATTACCTCCTCTGAAATGTCCGCTAATGGTGAGGCCAATGTTTCAAACACCGGCAGTAGTTGCGGACAGTGGAGCTATGTTGTAGGGATAGAAATTAGGCTCATAGAGACCATTCTTAAGATGGTTGAAATTGTCATAACAGGTGGATCTTCACCTCTTCCCAGTTCCTCATGGCTCGTCGCCTCTCCTCCCATTTGAACTAAGCAATGGCTTTGCCATCAAAACACACTGTGGCGGCTTCAACATTCTCTTCCTCCGACAATCGATTAAGGGCGAAATATCTCTCCACGCGAAACACCCAACCGTTTAGATCAGCCCCTTCGAACACGGGCATCTCCAACCTCCTCATTCGTGGTTCCCCCTTCCAGTCACTACCTGATCCTCCACCAGTGTATGGCCTAAGACTTGGCTTGATTTGAGTTAACCTCGAAAATGTGGACGTCAACGGTGATTTCTCAGAGGCTACTCCCTTCTCCTTCTGCTTCTGCTTCTGCTTCTGCTTCTGCTTCTGCTTCTACTCCTTATTATTTCGGGTGCTCATCAATAATTCGAACTTCTCCAGTAACTCGGCATGCATCTCTTTGAGCTCTAACAGCAGTGAATCAACCCCGATTTGCATCTCCTGATGATGGAGGTCTACCTTCTATTCCAATTCCCCTACTCGATCTGCAAGTGTCATGGTTTTGGTTGATGATTCTGGTGCTCTAATACCAGTTTGATAGGTTCTGCCTTAGAATTGAACTGTGATGAAGATGAGAACAAACAGAATTGAATTTCTTAAAAATGAACAATACAAAGCGTAAGAAAAGGAAATAGCAAACAGCCGTTTGTGAGGGTTGTAACTCTCCACCCAAATGATTTCACTCACTAAAATAGACTTTTTCCTCTCCTGACCCTCTTATTCTATTTATAGGCTCCTGTAACAGATTTTGGCTAACCCACCCTTTCTAACCAAATTTGTTACTGCCTCCCCCTTCTCCATTCTTCTTGTTTCTTCTAGAATAGGTATATTTAATTGGGGGCTTATCAATTTCTTGATTGGTGGTGAATATATTTGAATGCCACACGAACAGTCTCTTATTAAAAAATAAGGGCACACTTGGTTTGCTGTTTTCAAGTTATTCTCAATTTTTTGTTTTGTAAAACACCCAAAACATGTTTGATTTGGTATTTTCGAAAATATATTTTTGAAAACAAGATTAATTTATAACATAAAATATGAAACATATTTTAGACGTTTGAAAACAATCAAATCACTCAAAACGCTCAAAACATGTAATAAAAATAAAATCCAAATTAAAACAACCAAATCTTTTTTTTCCTGTGTCACTCTTAACCCAAGCCATTCGTAATCAATTTCAAAGCAAAAGAGTTTTCTGGTTTTTTTGTTTTGAGAATTAGATTTTCAGAACGATAAACCAAATGCGTTTTCTACAATCTTAAAATAAATTCTCGTAATAGAATGCAAACCAAACGCACCCTAAGATTTTGCAGATAGTTATATTCTACCACGAAGTCTCATCCTACTAAAATATAAAATTTCTATGGGCGTTGCAACAGGACTTTTACGAACATTCTTGTTTGGTCCACTGATAGATGATGCTGACTAAAAAAATCTGAGGGTCAACAATTTTGGACTTCTTATGTTGGGATTCATTTCAATCATCTTGTGTTTTGTTTCTTGAGGATAAATGTGAGGAGTGATAGTTGAAAAATTACCTTCCGCAATTGGCCTCCACTCATCTCCCCAGCCTTTACCCAGTGAAAAGATAAAGCGTAACTCCATCAAGCATAACAGCCACCATTCTTTACCTGCATTTCTGCCTAGCCAAGCCATCTCCATACAATCTTCTATGCATTCCACAACCACGAAGCGACCAGTAGGCTAACAATTTTATAGCTTCTTCGAGGAAAGGGACCTAAGCAGTGTGATTTTGGCTTCATCTAATGTCATCCAATTCAAATAAATAGCAAGGAGGTTGAATTGGAACAAGGGGGTGGTGAACATGGGATGGAAGGGGAAGGAAGGTTCTTGTTTTATTATGTCACTCCTTGCTGGATAAACACATCCAAACCCCTTAGGATTGTTTCGTTAGTTGTTATATTAAGTCCTGCGATGTGATAAAAAATATTCCAGCAAAAAGATGTTTCTAGGTAACATGGGATGGAGCTAGTTGTCCTTTATCAATCCCGCTAATCCCACTAACCAAAGGCGTCCATAAAAAACCATTTTGACCCTCGATTTCTCGTGAATGAAAGTAAGATGATGTCATCAATATCTTGGCTTGGAAAAATCCTTGAATTGTCTGGATACTAAATTGAGTTTAGAAGGTATTATATCTTTCTGAAGAAGTTAAAATGTTTTTTAAATGCATTCGTGATGGCAGGGATTGATGTTGGTCATCAATTTTTTTTCTCGGTCCGAGATGGTGGCTGTCAGTTTTCACGGTCACTGGCTGAACGGAATTGATTTTATTGGCACTGCTGCTCGTAATTCCGTAATATTGATCCTTTATTCACTATTCTCAGATCATGGATGCTGTCGTGCTTTTATTTTGTAATTTGGTTCTCTGGCTTATTGCAAGATGATACCTCTTTTATAAATGGTTGAATGTTTGGTGAGGCCATTGACCATGTAAGAGGTGTGATATTTAGCTTCAACTTTGGGTGAGGAATATTTTCTCTTGGCAGATGTCAGATTTGCAAATCTGTTGATTCAGAACTAAGTTCCAATATCTTTGGAATTGTCTGGGTTCTTTGAAGCTCTTAAGGCTTTTCTATTGTAACATGAAGGTTCCTAATCATGTCTTTTCACTCGAATTAGAATTTCTTGGTGGATCCTTTGTTATTTTTCCATTTTGTTGTGTTACATAATCTACATGGAATCTTTCTTTTCTTTGCTAGAAATCATGATGTAGAGTTTTATTTTTCTTTCCATTTTCATTTCCCTTCAGTTGGTGAGTTGTTGTGAGTACAAGCTACCCCTTGCTACATCTATCATCTTGTCTGGCCAGTATGAAGATAATCAAGACAACTGTGAGGAAATTGTTTCACTGGTCAAGGTGGGAACAACTTGCTCGGTAACAAGCATCAGATCAGAGATCAAGTAATGAAACGTGGTAATCTGGGACTGAAGGCATGTATATTCCACTTTCCACTGTTTGTCTGTTTCATTGTACTCCCACTCCACCTACTGAATATATGATAATCTGACCTTAGACTGCAGTTTTGAGTTTCAGTTTTCTAAATGAGGATGCATTGATTTAAACATTATGTCTGACACTGGAAATTAATTTATTTGGCAGGGAGAACGTAAGTATAATTAGATCTTTATTGTCCATGACTTCCCTAAACTAAATTTTGTGTAGCAGCTCAAATCCAATAAAGAAAGAATGATAATGCATCTTTTCACTGGAGAGATTTGTGATGAAGCATTTTAAAATATATGTGTAATAGCAATGAATGGCATAGAATTCATGGTAATATGGGAGATCAGCTATACCCGTTGCATTAGATAACCTGATTTAAAATAAAAAAGAAACTATATACTCCAGTTAGAAACTGTTATCTACAATGGAAGATGGATGATAACTGATGATTGAATACAGAGAAAGTAGGTACCCCATAAATCGTAATGAAAGTGGATGTTGATAAGATTGATGAGTAGGATGGATGCACAATCTCCTACAAAAGGCTAGTACTGCACCAAGTAACAAATATTATTGTTCGTGACAGGGTAATTGCAACTAAAAAAAGATTTCAAATTCAATTTTTAAGGTTTTCTAATTTGTTTTTTTGACAATTGTTTTTTCATAGAGGAACTGTCTTATTTTGCTGCCATATCTTTATCAAAATATTCCTTTCTATCGTGTTTATTAATACCAGGTTAGTAATTGCTAGTTTGATTGTTTACTATAAATCTGTGGGCCTGCAAACTTTTTGAACCCTATTTCCGATATGATTGGCTCAATACAATCTAACTTTGATATAATTTGTGATCTCTGTGTTATGCTCTTGGCTGCTTTTTCCCTGCTTGAAGGTCTGTAGTCAAGTATTTGTGCTACAGATTTTCAAAAGGCTAAATTTAGAAACTTTCTGTGTTGGTTACATTAAGTCCTCCTTGCTAGGGAGTTAGTTAAACGATATAAAAAATAAAAAATAAAAAGTAAATAACAAAAAAAGAAATTTAAAACTAAAATTTATTAAAGTAGTAATCAAATTAAAAATAAATAAGAAATAAAAATTCAAATTAGAGCTAAAATTAATTAAATACAATAGTCCTCGATAACGGCGCCAAAAACTTGATCGTTTGATTTCCTGCAAGTGAACGGGATTGTGAACAAGTAATAAAGTAGTGAATAGAGTGTCGAACCCACGAGGACTACGTGTTTGATCGAGTTAAACTTAATTCCAACTTTAATCGAATAGCAAACAAATTTTGTGATTTTTTTATACTAATCCCTAAATTATCAATTAAACTAATGAAAGTAAGTAAATGTGTTTTTCAAATACATGAGATGGACGTGTGGACATAAATGTCAAAAGACTGGAAATTGCTATTCAGGAAAGGTTTATACATATGATGGCTTGTACAAGGTCGTCATCCTTAACCTCCCCCTATCCATCTAGTTGTCTCTGTTTTAATTTTCTGTTGTGATAAGATGGAAATCCTGTGTTTTTCATAATTGTGCAGGATTTGTCATCCAACAAAAACATTGCTACTTACGAGCAATTTTATAAAATTTTCTAGTGAAATTTGATACCATAACTGTTGTGGGTGCCGTAGGCACGTAGTTGTCTCTTGGCCATAGCATATCCCCATATAATGCGTTTTTGTTATATTTCGTATAATGTATTTTTCCTCGGGCAATGCAGTTCTCATTTAGCATAACTTATTGGAGGAAAAAACTTGGATTACTTTGTCTATTTTGATTTTGATTTTGATTTTTCTCAAAGTCTAGTATATGTAGTGTGTTTCTTTATTATGGCTTGTGCCTTTATGGCCTGTCTTTAAATTTCTAGATATCTAGGGTGTTCATGTTATTTAATTTGCAGGTTGTCAAATACTGGGCTGAAAAAGGTGTCTCTGGGTTCATAGTTTATAAGTTTCGACTAAAGCGGCTGGATGGACAGCCGCCATTGATGACTAATCAAGTTTATGACCAAAAAAATTTGCAAATACCTATTGCACGACTTATCAAACAAGTTGTATTTGAAAAGAAAGAGAAAAGCAATTCGATTTTGTAGTCTGATCCAGCGCACCTGCATGGTGATCTTAAGTTGGAGAATGAAGACAGAGTGCCTCTTTTTGAGTTTTCTGTGAAGTGTCCAGAAATGTTTGCATTGCAAAGACACAGAAAGAGGAAATTTTTTTAACATTGGTCTACACATTTCGTTCACTTGATCATTGCAACAAGGGCAATGCTAGTGGATGTGATCAAAAGATTCCCGTAGATAATCCTCTAAGATAGGGCAGATGCAAGTTTCCTGTTATTGGCAAACATAATTAAAAGGTATTGGAGCTTTAGAAAACTCTTAATAGTGACAGAGTTTATGTTATATGACATTGCCCATCCAAGAAAAAACGCTTCATCTCAAGATGCTTCTAGCTCTTCCCCTGATGCTGTTAATGCACAGTTTAATTCTGGTGAAATTTCATCCTCGACTAAGCAGTCTCATTCCTCAAAAGTCCCGGTCAAGAAGAGAGAGTGCCTGAAATTTAAAGGTCGTGATAGAGCCGATGATGAGCCACTTCAGAATAGAAAGGCTGCAATATCTGATTGTGTGAGTCCTGGAAAGATTCATGTAGTGATTCCACCCAGAAGCCACAGTTTGCAAAAGTACCGAAAGTTGCAGCCCTTCACCATTTCTAGACCAATAAAGGGGAGGTGGAGGATGCGACTGTGGTGGTTGGGACGTGGCATGCCCTCTCAGTACAATAGAAACATTCAGATTGCTGGAGACCATATCCTCATCGACAGTCAGCATCCATTGGAACTCTTTTTTCAGGTAATATCTCCATCTGGTGTGGGAAATTAATATGATTCCAAGCAAGACAGGTTAACCGGTGACTGTGGCTCATTGTACTTACACTTCGTAGATTATAGCTTGTTTGGTTTCGACTCCAGGGGTAATTGTATGTCTTATTCGTCCCAAATATTGTTTAAATTATTAATCTCAATAAACTATCTGTATGCAGGGGAAAATTGATAATATACCAGCCTTGACAATAAGGGTAATTGATGATAGACAGTATGCAGTTGATTTCCATGCAAAGTTATCCTCATTACAAGCATTCTCCATTTGTGTTGCGATTTTGCATACTGCAGAAGCCTTTATTGTTGTTGGGCAGGAACCGAACAAGCAAATGTTGCAGTGTGATTCCCTGAGTGTATTTTCTGATGAAGAAATGAAGAATTTGATTGATTCAGGAACAGAGGAGTCGAAATCTAAAGTTCGCAAGAAGGTGGAAAAAGTTTTGCCATCTTTAGTACTCAATCCACCCTTCCCTCCAATAGCTCGAGTATAGGCTTTCTAATGACCCGACCAGCGCAGAGCTCAATCTGAATTGTGAAAGAGGAGGACACACTGAAACCATTATAGGGAATATCATAAAAGGAAGTTTCTCCAAACATGGGTTGATATAACTGATGTCTCGAAATCTCGTCCTGAGAAACTGGGATACTTTGGCTTTAACATTGCTATGCCATGCACCTGGTTGCTACGAGACTTCTTCAGTTTTTTATAGGCAAAGTCGAAACAAACACCATGGTGTTCATACTATTTAGCTGATAGGGAGTGAAAACAGAATAAGAGTGAGTCCATTGTTGAAAAGTAATAGGTTAATTCTATTCTTGTAATTTATTATGCTTGAAGTGTATTCTTTGAAAGATTTTGCACATTTTATAAAAATAACCCTTTGTATACTCTCTTTTGCATTATTTCTAGAAGTGCAACATAAGAATGATTGCAGGGAAGACCAAAAAAACAAAAAACAATGCTTAAGAAATTCACTATTGCCAAGGATTGAAACCCGGGGTTACTCGCGCGACAGGTGGAAGTACTCACCACTATTCTACAACTTTGTTGATTTTAGTTGCGATCTGGCCCCCTTTTTGAGTCCCATTTTTTCTCATTTCATTACATTAATTTCTTCTCTCTTCATCTCAACCACACATTCTCAAATAAAATAATATTACACACAAATCTAAAACTTTTCCACCACACATTTTCCAATCAATCACTATTCTACAAATTTTCAACCCCAAAAAATGAGGCCAAACAGGGGGTTTTTAAGTATTATAGTGGAGGTAATATAAATAAAATTTAGCATGTCAAAAGATTTATTGAGTTATTTGTTATTTAATGCACAAAATTATTTTCTTTTTCTTCTTAAAACGTTTCAATATGACATAATTCTCTTTACCAAACAAGTTTCAAGTTTGAAAAAGGATGTGAATTGGTTGTCAAAATTCAACCAAAATCCATGGCTTCTACATTGGCCATAATTCGCGATGTAAAATTATAGTCTTAGATCCTAATTGCCATTAAACTGAAGAAGAAAAATAATAACATAAAGAAATTCATCCGAAAATCATTCAATTATCGTATATAAAGATTACCCCTAATGCGTAGGGCCCATTTCAATACATCCATTATTGCACACTAATGTTACAACAAAAACTTCTCCACATTTTCTAGGCACTGAGAAGCCTAGTTAGGGGTCAGCAGTTCTAATTCCAGCATCCACCTTTTCCTGTACCGTACTGGAAAAAAATTGTAAAGGACAAACAAATTAAAATCTTCTCTATCATACTCATCCTGTATCGCATACCAAACATGACATTAGGAGAATGCTCTACATTCTTTCAGTGCAAATCATGCCGTAACTGAGACAGGTGAATCCAATGCTACTGAATCGTCTTCAGCGCTTTGTTCAAGCTGGATTGGCAGAGGATTCAGTTGGGGAACCTCCAAAGATATTAACCTCTTGAAAGATTCATATGATGCAAAGAAGAGTGCTCCTTGAGTCATATACATTGCCAATCTTGGAGTCAAACCCCTGATAGTAAAATTAAGATTCATAAACTGTCAAATCAGAGATAGCAAGAGATTTCTAAATCTTTAATGCAGAAAAGAACAAGCATCTCACAATCCAAAGCCACAAAATAATCCAGGAGAAAAACCGAAATATAACCAACCAGCCCTTGTTTTCAACATATATAGGGGCAGATATATAAATTCATTTTATGTTCTATTCATTACTAGATATACTAAAAGATATAACGCCACATTTAAGCGACTACAATAGGTCATGTAAATTGATGCATGAAATCAAATCTCCCTCTGTTTAAGCCACGTTTTCTAGCTCAGGAGATATAAATACAGATCAGTTGGACTCAAGCAAATTAAAGTGAAGTGACCTAACACCGTTAAGTGGTGCTTGGATGGACCCATGGCTATAGAATTAATCAGCTATAGAATATGACAAAGATGACTTCAGAAAATGGACAAGTCAAACCAACTATCCTCACAGGTATGGGGTTTGATCAAACTACTAAATTACAGTATTACACTACGCAAAAAAACTCTTTCTTGCTATCAATATAAGAAAAATATGGAAATAAATTGCCTCCAATGGGATTTGAACCTATCGCAAGTTCGTCAAGTTGGCTTGGAAACCTCAGTTAATACTGTCGATGATAGATTCATTGGTCAAACTCTTTCTTCTGGAGCTATATTTTTCATTAGAGATTACTTATCTATCAACTTTGCCACTAAAACCCCAAGAAAAACTTGAATCAATCTAATATTATTAGTTATCAAACGAGCGACAAGTATATCTTCAGTTAAAAAGTCTGCAAAATGTTTTTTATATCCTCACCTGTAGAGACCTTTCAAGCCTTCACGCTTTGCTATTTCTTTAAGCGTGTTGTATACACCATCATATTTGTTGACAGATCCTGGAATCTGCATGAAAACGTTTTTGTTGGAGTTTTGCAATCTAAATAATACTAAGCATGTTTGTTTAAGTGTTCATCAATAGTTTATATTATAAATTGATCAAAATAATTAAAGGATATGTGAGTAGTACGTGTGGATCCTCGAAATGTGTGGATGAAAAATGACTTGAGTGTTTATAAACAGCATATAAACATGAGCCAAACAGGCTAAATCATGCATCAAACCCACAAAATTGAAGACAAGAAACCAAAATTAGCAAGACAGTAAATAACTAACCTGAGTTTGATATCTCGTTTTGACAACATCAAATGGAGTCGTAAATAATGCAGCTGTAGATGCAGCCAGTCCTCCACAAACTAGCTGCAAGAACAGGAAGCAATGTCAAAAAGAGAAGCATGGTGAATTGGGTTATTCAGCACCGTAGAAAACAAACCGTGACTAATGTATTAGGTTGAACATTTGTTTGATCTGATGGCAACATCGATTGCTTCAGTCTTTCATATGTATAGAACTGCAATTGAAATAAGTAAATCCAACAAATTAAAAATGAGAATTTTTGGTGGAAGCCAAAAATTAAGCTTAAAGATTGAATCAAATAATCAATAATACTTCCAGAAGACAACCAAAAATCAACTCCAGAATTAAAACTCTATACAATTGAGCTAATATATGCTATCCCCAGGATTACCAGAAAAAAACAGATCAAATAACCTGAAAACTGATATAAAATGACCAATAACCAGACTTCAAATTATATCTTCCCCTGAACAATCACGCCAATATATGTTTGCCCAAGTCACCTTGATGACAGAGTGTGGAATGTTTCTGCAAAGTACAGCTCCCCATCCAGCATACAATGAAGACAAACCACCTTTCTGAATAATCTCTATCAAGGCATTCCTACAGAAGGCATAAATTTAACCAAGCTAAATACCAATCCTAGAGCTAAAGTTAGTCCACCTAAATGTAAACATTAAATGAAATTTGAGAAACTGAAAGACATGAATAAATTGAAATTATTTTAAAAAAGCAACCAGTTCAGCTACTCAATTCTGAGAAAAAGTAAAAAATAAATAAAATAGCACTAATGAAAACAGAAGGCATCGCCGCCAAATCTATTATGGATAATTATATTATGTACTTCTCTTAGGCGTTGCTATCCATTTAAGTTTTTCATAGATAGTTTTGTTTAATATCTCTAATTCCTTGGTAATAAAAGAACAATGTTGATCGACAACCATAACAAAACAACAACAGCTCCGCCAAATAAACTTCTTCCTATGACTCCGCAGAAACCTGAGTTTTTGGTTAACAGTCAGGCATGATCAAGCTGATGCATTTATGAGGGGCACCCGTCCACCGGGTCAAAAAATTGTAATGTTTTCCTACCTTCTATTTAATATTTTATAACTTGACATGAAGTCACTGCATATTGTAGAGCATTCAAACATTCAGAAATCAATATGACAATGTATCAGGGTCTGAAGTTATACCAGCAGTTCCGGTAGTGTGAACCAACTTGCATCTGCTGCTTTATTCGATCACTTGGAGTGAAAATGAATGATGTAGCAATACTTGCACAACCCCCAGCTACGCAGTGAGCCAAAGACTGATATTCCTGCAAAAAGAAATATGAATGTTAATAACACGAGTATATTACAATAACAAATAGTAAGTCAATAACAATTGACATTTCCAATCCTGCTTTGGTTTAATTGTCTTTCTTCCAAAATAAAGAATGAATTTTTCACCTTGGGGAAAAAGGGAACCAAAGTACTTTTCACTGATTCGTATGTGAAAGTGTAGATAGCAGAAATTGGCGCTGAAGAAGCAATATTGCTGGAAATGCCACGATAAAGTCCCATTACACCTGATAATGAACTTCAAATTAGTCATACTTTCAATTGTTGAAAATAATAGCATTCTGTTAGGTTTGAATTGGAGAGAAAACATTGAATTCCAAAAAGTCACCAGCAAACTTGCAAAAAGACACACCTCTTTCGGAAATAATAGATCTGCCTATGCGGTGAAGGGGTTTCTGATCTATGGGGCAAGACTGAAGAACGGTCTTAACAGTGTCCACTGGATGTAGACAAAGGCTGACAAATATCCCAGCCATTGCTCCTGCAAAAGCGTGCTCTTGCTTGGCAAGTGCATAATGAGGTTTTTCCTTTGTCCACAAACAAAGTTCCACATCAGAAGAGTCCCCTTTGATAGAATTTATCTCTTGATTGTTTAGATGCTCACATCGGCAGTTGGTTTCCTTTTCACTTTCTTCAACCTCTTGGGGACTGGTAGCAATTTCTAAGCATGAAGAAAATTTAGATGCATTCAAGTCAAACTGGCCATCTACACTTAATAACGAACCTACGGCTGCTGCTGCTTCAGCATTATAATCAGAATTCAGAAAGACCAAACTATTTGTACCAGTTGCGTTAGTAGACATGCAGCCACTGGCTGGACTACTTGAAGAGTTGCCAACATAACAGTCACTTGACCCCCTGTACTTGATCCTCACAGAATTTACCAGCTCCGTAGGTTTTGCAAGAGCTATTTCACTCATCCATCCATATATGCTACACAAATTATGCGCTATTCCTATACCTGAAAGATGTTTCTCTTTGCAAGACTCGTGAGTTGTGGTATACCTACCATGAAGAATGCTCAATAGATAACTTTCAGAACTAGGTTGAAAGCAAGAAATCTTCTGGATCACACTAAAACATTCAAGATTTGTTGACACAACTGATGCAGAATCTGTTTTACTAGTCACATTGACAGCAAAATATTGATCAGCAGAAGCAGATGTACAGAAAGTTACTTCATTGCTAGAACAGTGAGTTTTGTCACCTCCCTGACAGACATCAGCATTGTATCTGGAACTAGTTTTTGGAAGAAGAATAGACAGGGGCTGACTTACACGATCCCATATATAACTTGCTGCAGAAATTAGCTCGGTTGTGCTCAATATCTCGGAAGATTTGATCTCAGAATTTTTAGGGGTACACTTATCATTTTCCGATGAAGTGATAGGATTAGCAACATGATCAAAATCAGAAAGCTCAAAGGAAGCCACATTGAGTGGATTATGCCTGTATCTGATTGAAGGCTTATCATTTCTTTTCAATCGACTACTCCCTGCCATTTTTCTGGATGTTGCCGTTGTATATATTCGTTGAAAAGAAGATTGTCAATAGAGAGAGGCAACTGCACCAAGAACCCAGTAGATTGAATTTGTAAATTACAGATACAGTATTTAGTTATAAAATCATCTAAGCGAAACAAACCACTCAGCTCTCCACAAGCCAGAAAAAGTTAAAGCTAGGTTTATTTGTTCATTAAGTAGAGCTAGAATGAGCTTAATCTGACTAAACTCGGATCAAGCTTGATCGACTAGATTATTAACACAACATCTAACAATTTCTAGTCCAACTGGTCTAGTTGAAAATGTTTTAAGAGACTAAAAAATGAATTGAAGTTAATCCCCCTTCAAGTCCAGACGCCTCAAGCTTGTGAACTACACCAACATTCACATTTGAACTTTTATATTTTCATGCATTTAAATAAAATTGAGCAATAATTGAGGAAGATCATCTTCTTCACATAAAAGAATTCAACTAGATGTTTTCAAATTTGTTTTACTCCAGGTACATATCAATAAGAAAAAAATGACAGCTGAATCATGTCATAACTCATAACACTCAACTTTTCATTATCAACACGTCTAACTAAGCTTAAAAAGTTTACTTGTATAAAACAGTAGGTATCAGTAAATATTAATGTCTTTTAAAGTTAGGCCAACATGCTCTAGCTACCATATCTATAAACAAACAGTACAAGTAAAAAAATGAGCAAATCAGTAAATAAATAATCAATACAAAACAAGAAACAAAAGTCTCATCACCCGTTAAATAGCCTCTCTCGCACAATTAAAATCCAGTTCTACATGGTTCTGTGGAAACAATCAACTATTAAACAACGCATTGCCCCTGAAATATAGAATAGAAATTCAGAGCAGTAAAACTCGTGAAACGAAAACGCACATAACAATCAGTAACTAAAAATTCCAAAAGTACGATACCCAAAATTAATCAGGGTAACTAATTTAACAGCATAAAATAATTGCTTAAAAGCTGAAAAAAATTTAAAATCTCACAACAAGTCGGATTCATTGTCACCAAGATTTTCTGGTTCATGAAAAAATTGAAAAAGGTTTAGCCTAGGGTGAGATTTAACTAAAATCTAGCGAATTTTTAAAATTTTCTTGCGACGTGCAAATGTGTAATAGATGTTTGACTAAAAAGGTTTTCAAAAATTTATTTGTGAATAAAAAAGTACATTTTTTTGTTGGAGGAAGTTAAAAATAATTTAGCTCCAATTTTTTTCCAAAATGCATTTTGAACTAATATTTTGATAGAAGGTATGTGGTGAAAAAAAATTGAGTTTACTAGTACTAATATCACTATATATTAAAAGAGCCAAAGCAAAGGTCACACGTATCGTCATTTCCCGTCGCCCTCAAAAATCCTCATTTTTTAATAAAAAAATCCCCTTAAATTCGTCAAAAATTCCCGCACCGCCGTCTACTTCTCCATTATCTCACGCAATCAACAATTTCTCCTCCATTTTCCCACGCAACCTCCCATGGAATACACATCAGGTTTTGATTATATTTTTGGGTTATGAGTTATTATGTTTTTGTTTTTTTCTCTTTATTCTTCTCTCCTCTCCTCTCATTTTGTCAACCAATCTTGTTTTTTGCAGGATTCAAAGTTTTCATTATCTGACGTTTGAGATTGAGAAAAAGATTGCTCAAAATAGTGATTGAAATAAGGTATTTTTATGCAAATTTTTTTTCGATAGTTTTCAATTTTTTTGTTGTGAAGGTAGTTTCTATTACTATCAATCTATTGTCATTCATAAACTCAATTTAACTATATATTTTTGGATTTTTAGTTAATTTAATTGGTGATTGTTGGAATTGAATTTTACCGGCATGTTTGACCTTCTATGGATAAATTTATGTTTTCACGTAATAAATTCCGTAGTTGATAGGTGCTAATATAGTGTTTTGGTGGGTTTAATGCAGATTGATAGTAGTTTGGTTTGGAGCAGAAATTGTGCACATTAGATTTGGAGTGGAGGCCAGAGGTCTAATGCTCAAGGGTGTTGAAGAGCTTCCTGAGGCAGTTAAAGTTACCATGTGCCGAAGGTACTTCAATAATCATGCTACTGCTCCTTGCAATGGCGATTAATTTTAATATATATCCACTGGTATCTATTTATTCATGTTTGTATTTAGTTTTCACGTTGTTTCAATTTTTTTCTTGTCAAAATTTTTTTACTTTTTATCTCTACTTTAAGTTGTCTTTCTCTGGTTTATCAACATTGTAACTGACTAAAGTTTTGATTGTTTCAATTGGTGAAGGGCGTCATGTAGTGATGGGCAAAGTTGGGATGCCCCTAAAGTGATAAAGACCTGTGAATGTGTCTATATGCCGCTCATGTCTCCATGCACAGCACGAAGACATGAGAATGTGTCTCTGTGCCGCTTGTGTCTCCGTGAGCGAGCACGAAGATGTGTTATGTCTCCGTGCGCACGCGCAGAGATGTGTTGTGTCTCCCTGCGCACGCACGGACACACGGCTTGGTGTCTCAAACACAGCACAAGGCTGTGTCTCCGTGCGCACATGAAGACAACAGAGAACTTTGTCTCCGTGCTCGGCACGAATACACGGCCTTGCGTCTCCGTGCCACACGCATGGAGACAATTTTTTTTTCCTAAAATTGTCCTAAAACAATTAGGTTGTGGAAAGAGAGAGAGAAAATAAGACGGGTCAATTGAAGATGGTGTGCATAATTTTTTTCTCTTTCTATTTTTAATTGGATTATATTATAACTGTAAATTGTTGCGAAAACTATATTGTAATAAGATGTGTATAAATTTTTTTTCTATATCTCAATATTTAAAAATGATAAAACATCTTATCACATTTTCTAACCCTACTAAAAAACACAACTTCATTCCATACACGAAAATCAGAATTCCTTTCGGGGGCTTTGCCCCCTTAGCCCCCACAAAGGGCAGTGCCCCCGAACCCCCACGACCTGATCGGTCAGGTCAATCACCGTCGGGGGCGTTGCCCCTAAACTCCCAAGAGGGGCGCTGCCCCCTCGACCCCCGCGACCTGATCGGTCAGGTCGATCACCGTCGGGAGCGTTGCCCCCAAACCCCCACGAGGGGCGCTGCCCCCTCGACCCCAACGACCTCACCGGTCACGTCAATCACCGCCGGGGGCACCCACGAACCCCACGACGACGTTGCCCATGTGTGCTTTAATACCATTGTACTAATTATAGTCAGTGTCATCCTTTGAGCTGATATTCATCTATTTTGGTGTTTTACTCAATCTGCAAAAGTTTCTCAAATACATATTCACTGATGAGCTGATAGTTAATGTTATTTTCCTTTTTGAATTAGTGAACAATTTTGTCAGATTAGATTAATGTTGCATGTCAAATACAATTTTTCCTATTCTCAAAGTTGAATCGAGATACTATATATTTATTTAAACATAAACCATGTGAATGGATAACAATCCTCAAATTGGTTTCGTAAATATAATTTGTATATCGAGGCTTATTCTTTATTTTGTTACACACTTATTTTTAACATCATCCAATTAACATGCAACGCACGTTTGCCACACTAGTTTTATTAAAGAATGTGTGATTAAAAATAAAAGATAGGAAAATATATTTTGTAAATAATAGAAACCAAACAAGGACTAATTACTTATTTTGCCATTAGAAATAGGTATTTTCATTTGAGTCAAAAGTGCTTTTCGTAGCAAATTAGTGCATTTGGAGTTTTATCAAATTGCCTATTGAGAGGACAAAAAATAAAATAAGATAAAAAAATCTTTTTGGGAACAGTTTAACAAGCTACTTAACTCTGCACAAACAATTTTCTACTATTTTTAGGTTTTTGGCAAAGTTTGTGATAGTTACAGTTTTAAGGAAACAAATAAATAAATAAATAAATGGAACTATAAATCATGGTTCTCATTGCAAGCTATAGGATTTAGATCCTACATTGAAAATTTGGCCTTTTGATATGTGGTTACATAGACTTGGGCATTTCAACTTCAAGAACTAGCTTCTGAGGTATGACTTTCTTAAGTTATATAATAATGGTATCAGAACAAGCACCGTGTCTTTCGATTGCAATCGAGTTGTGTGGATGGTGACGCCGACATAGAAGTGTTCGTTTGAAACTAGTAATGGACTAGTGCAAAGCAAGTTCGATGTGGGCGTCGGGGTGGCAGAGTGTGATGGTTTTTCATGGTTCTCGTTACAAGTTATGGGACTTGAATCCCACATCAAAAGTATGAAATTTGAAGTGTGGTTTACATAGATTTGGACTCCCCAACTTGAATAGTTATTTTTTGAGGTATGACTCTCCTAAAATCTATAATAATGATATCAGAATAGACACTATGTCTCTTGAATGCAATCGAGTGATATGGATAGTGACGCCAACATAGTAGTGTACGTCTGGTACTAGTCATGAGTTAGTGCAAAGCTAGTCCGATGTGGACGTGGGAATCGTGGAACGTGGTTATTTGTCATGATTCCAATTGCAAATTATAGGACTTGGATCCCACATTTAAAATATGGACTTTCGATATGTGGTTTATATAAATTTGGACTCTCCAACTTCAACAGCTAGTTTTTTGTGGTATAGCTCTCTTAAAATCTATAATACTACTACAATGGAATATGGATGCTTCTCATAAGTTCTGTTCTAGCTGTTATAGATTATAGTGGAGCGAGGTCTGAGCCCAATTGTTGCTATAGATTTCATCACTAAAAAGCAAAAGGAGATTACTAAGGAGATCTCACACCACTTGGTTTGTCTCTACCAACATTGCTTTATATAGACGATGCAACGACGCACATTCAAATGTGTAATCTCATTTTCAAATTTCTTTCTCAGCGTGATACTGGACTAGCTACCAATTTGTAATTGTCACTTTCTAATTCATAGATGTGGGAGTAATGAGCAGAGTCATACTATTTATTTTCAAGAGAATTTAAAGATCACTGATGTCCAAGAATAAATCCTTGTTGGATTCTTGAGCATTATTTCACTTTTAGGAAGATTAGTATGCGGTAAAAGATCAAATGCCATTTGTTAGAAAATGGACAATAGATTTTGCAGCCATTGTATTTCAAACATGCACTGTTATTTTCTCCGTCGTTTACAGTGTTAATGGTAGGCAAACTATTTGCTGGAATCGAGATCGGTTTTCGAATCATGATTGCACCAGTATACGTTGCAGAGATATTACCTACAGTATCAAGAGGGTTGTTTACATCCTTTATTGAGATTTTCGTAAATTTTGGATTTCTTCTTGGTTATGTCTCAAATTATGCCTTAAATTGGATAATAATGCTTGATGTAGATTCTTCCATCAATTTTTATTGGTTTTGCACTGTTTGTTATACCTGAATCCCCGAGATGGTTGGTAATGCAAAATCGGATTGATAAAGCGAGGATGGTGCTATTGAAAACCAATGAAAAAGCAAGTGACGTCGAGGAGAGGTTAATAGAAACACAACAGCCTGCAAGTTTTGTTAATGCTGCGAAGTACAAAGAGAGAGATATATGGCGCGATTTACTAAATCCTTCACTTGGAGTTCAACGAATGCTAATTACAGGTTGTGGAATCTAGATTTTCTAATAGATAACGGGGATTGATGCAACTGTATACCATAGTCCTACGATCTTTAAAGACGTCGGTATCATGGATAAGGCTCATCTTTTGGCAGCAACTGTTGCTGTTGGATTTACAAAAACAATTTTATTTTGATTGCGATATTACTTAATGACAAAGTGGGTAGAAAACCACTACTTTATGTGAGCACAATTGGAATGACTGCTTATCTATTCACTTTAGGCCTAACTCTTTCTACCCTCGGTAACGGCAAACTCCGGATTGTTATGGAAATTCTCTGTGTGTGTGTGTGTGTGAAAATGTAGTTTTCTTCTCAGCAGGGATAGGCCATGTTTGTTGGGTTGTATTATTTTACAAAAGAAATCAGAGAGAAATGGACAGAAATTCAGTTCTTCATTAATCAGAATTCACACACTCAAGGAAATTACACCGAGTAAAACTCTTGTATGGAAAAACACAGAGTGAGCTGGACAAACGAGCTGGAGGAAAGAGAATAGAATACAACTGTAATGCCAACTCAGCAAGGCTAACAAACTAAATTTCTAATACTCCCCCTCAAGATGGACTATAGATGTTAATAAGTCCCATCTTGCTAATCAAGAGATAATGATCTATTGCTAATTGACAGAACACTTTTTCAATTAAAACAATTGAAAACTTGGCATATCATTGTCGTAACGCTTGTTTCAATCCACATAAGGATTTATTGGGTTTGCAGGCTGCATTAGGAGGTAATCTTGTCTCCCCCTTAGGACTATAACACTCAGGTATAGTCATATAAACTCCTTCAGCCAAATCACCGTGAAGAAACGCATTATTTACATCTAATTAATGCAAGGACCATCCCTGAATAGCAGCCAAGGCTAGTAACAGCTTGACAGTCACCAATTTTGCTACAGGAGCAAAAGTATCAAGGTAATCCACCCCTTCCTGTTGAGTATATTCCTTAGCCACCAAACGAGCCTTGTACATTTCAATCGTACCATTTTCCTTGAGATTAATCTTGTAGACCCACTACAACCAATAGCATGGAAACCAGGAGGCAAAGAAACAATGGTCCAAGTACGATTCTACTCTAAGGCAAGTAGTTCTTCTGACATAGCATGATTCCATTCAGGTATGCCATAAGCCTGTGAAAATGTAATAGGTTCATGAAGGCTAGAAATGGACATGCAGCAGCCTTAAAATGTCTTTTCAATCTCTTATAATCAAGAAAATTCGAGAGGGGATGAGAGGTTGAAGAACCAGAAGTAGTATGGGAGAAAGAATCACAATAATAATCTTGTAAGTAACCTGGCTTCTGAACATTGCGTTTGGGACGGGAAGAAACAAGAGGTTTATCAGAAGAAGATTGTTCATGGTGTGAGAGGGAAGGAGAAACATCCCGAGAAAGATCAGTAGGTTGAGAATCCATATCAAGAATAGGTAGAGGCAACACCAATTGAGGAAAGAAACCAACAATATCAGTGGAAGAAGCTTTGGAAGCCAGAGGAAAAATGTTCTGATGAAAAATAACATCACGAGAAATGAGAATTTTATTATATTCCAAATCTAAGAGTTTGTAGGCCTTCATTCCAAAAGGATATCCAATAAGCACACAGACTTGTGATCTAGCAGAAAATTTATCCCTTTTACTCTACAAGGTAGAGACATAGCACAAGCAACCAAATGACCGTAAGTGCAAATAAGAAGGAACCTTGTTATATAATATCGCAAATGGAGTCTGGTGATGTAAAACTGAGGAAGGAACTCGATTGTTCAGGTGTGCAGCTATAAGAACTGTGTCAGTCCAATAAACTAAGATAAGCCTGATTGAAAGAGAAGTGCCCGATCCACATTCAACAGGTGTTGATGCTTTCTTTCCACAACCGAGTTTTGTTGAGGTCGCTCAACATAAGAATGGTAATGTATGACACCCTTCGTTTGATAAAATTGAGTAAGGTTCAGTTCTTTTGCATCATCAGAACGAACACCCTTGAGAACCACTCCAAACTGTGTCTGAATCATGGCAAAAATTTCTGGAATAACTCTATGTACATTAGCTTTGGAATGTAATAGATACACCCATGTATACCTTGAAAAATCATCCACAATTGTCAAAAAATACATGTATCCTTCAACAAAAACAATATGAAAGGGGCCCCAGACATCAACATGAATCAGATCAAAACAAGAAACAGCCCTATGATTATTGGAAACAAAAGGAAGTCTTCTTTGTTTGGCAAGGGGTACACTTTACAATGAAAAGATTTATCTCGAGTACTATGGAAACAAGAAATCTTATATAGCTGTTGAAAAACATTACAAACAGGATGATCAAGTCAATAATGCCATAAAAGGTCAGGAGGAACAGCAGAAACATTATTACAGGAACTAACAAAAACTTTCTTATTTTCAGGAAAAGTAAAGTAGTACAAAATGCCAACTCTGTTACTCATCCCAATCCTCTGGCCCTGCATAGTGTCCTGAACAAAACAATGATCAACAGAAAAGATCAGAGAACAAGGGATGCTCTTGGTAAGTGAACTCACGGAAATGAGATTGTATCTGAAAGATGGCACAAACAGAACTTTGTAAAGAACCAGAGAAGGAGTAAGATGAACAGTGCCAATTCTAGAGATATCCACATTATGACCATTAGGAAGTATAATAGAACTTGTCAAAGGAACATCATCAAAGGATTCAAAAAAACTTATATCATGGCATACATGATGTGTTGCTCCTGAATCAACAATCCAAACATGATCTGGTATGAGAGAAATACCAGTAAAATTGGAGACAATAGCTGCCTGTTGTTGTTGGTCTGAGCAATCCTGAGATTGCGAAATACCCTGCAGCTGTGTACTCAGCAAAGAAATTAGTGCCTGACATTAATTGGCAGACAAACTGCTCAAAGCGGAATTAGTAGAATCAGTAGAATCAGCAAGCACATTCGCCTGAATAACATTGGCTTTTGAAGTACCAGAAGACCATTTATTTGACCACCTATTCTGACCTCCTTCCTTAGAATGAGAATTGAACTGACTTTTAGGTGTGAATCCAGGCGGATAACCATGCTTCTTATAACATTTATCAACAGTATGACCAAAGTAACCACAATATGTACAAACAGGTTTCTCATGTTTTCCTTTAGAGACATTATAATTGTTGGAATTGACTCCATAAACTGCAGAAAAAGGAAGAACTGAAGGAGAACTTACAGATCTTTGCCTTTCTTCTTGTATAACCAGAGAAAAAATCCTGTTCATAGAAGGTAATGGCTCAAGCATAAGGATCTGAACACAAATTTGACGAAATGAGTCATTTAGACGCATCAAGAAATGCAGAACAAAATCTTGATGTTGATAATCAATTAAATCCTTCATTCCTCCACAATGACAGGCAGGGAATGGTCTAAATTCACTCAATTCATCCCAAAGTGTCTTAAGTTTGGTGAAATAAGAGCTAACATCACTAGATCCATGAATAAGAGCATGAATCTCCTGCTTTAACTGAAAAATTCTTGGACCACTACTCTGATGAAATCGTTCATGTAAATCATTCCACATATCACGAGCATCATTAACATACATTATGCTATCAGCCAACATTGAGTATCCATGACATGACCATATTATTACATCTAAACCAAAAAGAAAGCAAGGTATCGTCATCCTCAGGCCTAGATATAGATCCATCCACAAAACCGATCTTATTCTTAGCAATAAGTGCCATATACATTGCACGATGCCACGAATTGTTATTAGGGCCAAGCAATTGATTAGATTCCGAATTAAACCTAGATGATCTGCATTACTGAGATAGAAAGCACTGTTCACGTCCTCTGTGAAGAGTCAACTGCTTTAATCTAAACTGGAGAAATATTTCTCAGTGTTTCCACCATTTCGTCCTCCATTATTGCGGTTTCCACTATTATTACCACCACGAGCAGTACCACCTCGTGCCATAATCGATCAAGAGAAGAAATAGAATAGATCAAGAAATAGAAACCCTAGCAGAGCAAAATTGTTCTAATACCATTTTACAAAAGAAATCAGAGAGAGAAATGGAAAGGAATTCAATTCTTCATTAATCAGAATTCATGCACTCAGGGAAATTACACTAAGTAAAACTCTTATATGGAAAAACACAGAGTGAGCTGGACAAACGAGCTAGAGGAAAGATAATAGAATACAGTTGTAATGCCAACTCAGCAAGGCTAACAAACTAACTAACTAAGGGTATCCAAAAGTCCCGAACCGAACCCGAATCGAATCGAGCGGTTCTTCATAAGTTAAATACCTGAATGGGTACCCGAATCGAGAACCGATGGGTTTGGGTCAAGTTTTGGGTCTAGACCAATAACCGAATAAGAACCGAAACTAAATAATTTTTTTTATTTTTTATATTGAATTAATTAAATTATTTTATTTTTTTCTATGAGGACATTGAGGAAGGTAATAAATTATTTTATTTTTGAATATGGGTTTGTTGTATTGAAGAAAGAGAGTTCTATGGGGGCATTGAGAAAAGTAATAAATATATATTATATTTTT